CGACGGCTTCTAAAGCAACCTTGCATGCCAGTGCGTTGCTGTCGACGATGAAGCGTGCCCCAAGGAGGCGAGAATCCTGTACGGGGACCTGGAGCAACTCTGCCAGTGGGAGCTGAGTAGGGCGTTGGGGGCGGGATGGGAGGCGACGAAAGATCCCGTTCGGCCATAAAATTTTCGACGTCTTCAGCCCAGTTCACCTTTGAATCTACGGTTCCTTCCATGGTCTTGACAGGGTAGTGAAGTTAAGGGCCGAATCGTACTCTCATCACCAAGATGGAGACGCTCGGTGGACTGGGAAACCCAATATCGCGGTGGGCTCGATGGTATAAGGTGAAGAGTATTTACGAACATGCGTGGCTCTATCTGTGCTAACCCTAACCCTAGACTAGTCACCCTGCTCCAACGCATATAACCACATCCGAATCCGCGAAGGAGACGAATGGAAAACAGCGTTTCGAACGAATCAAGGACTCTTCGAATTCACGGTCATGCATTTCGGTCTCACCAACGCACCCGCCACATTCCAGAATTTCATCACCGATGTTCTACGCGATCTCGTGGACGTTATCTGCATCGTCTACCTGGACGACATCCTCATTTATTCCCGCAATCCCGACGAGCACACCGAAGCAGTACGCCGTGTACTTCAACGGCTTCGCGAAGCGCATCTCTTTGCCAACATCAAGAAGTGCGAATTCGACAAATCCTCCGTCGAATATCTCGGTTACATTGTATCCGCCGAAGGTATCAGCATGAACCCCAAAAAACTCAGCACCATTCTCGAATGGCCAATTCCCCAGACGGTCAAAGATGTGCAATCATTTTTGGGATTCACCAACTTCTACAGGCGCTTCATTGCTCACTACGCTCGGATCGCGCTCCCACTTCACGAGCTCACGCACAAGAACGCTCCAAAACCTTTCACATGGACATCCGCCGCACAGAAAGCTTTCGACAACCTACGCCGAGCATTCACATCAGCACCCGTACTACAATATTTCGATCCTCACCTTCCTCTCACTCTCTGCACCGACGCTTCGGACTTCGCGCTCTCCGGAATTCTACATCAACCGGACGATCAAGGCGCGTTACACCCCATCGCATACTACTCACGCAAGTTCCAGCCCGCCGAAATCAATTATGAGATTTACGACAAAGAGCTACTCGCTATAGTCGACTCATTTCGCAACTTCCGGGCTTGGACAATTGGCACCAAAACTCCCATCTCCGTCATCAGCGATCACAAGAATCTCGAGTACTTCATGACATCCCGCATCCTCAACCGCCGTCAAGCTTGATGGTCCATTTTCCTCTCTGAATACAACTTCGAACTCACGCACGCACCGGGCAAGAATAATCCCTCCGATGCACCCTCCCGCCGTCCCGACTACGTCCCCAAGAAGGGAGATGACGTCCTCGCGGCAAATCACCACACAATTCTCGACACATCACGCACTCATCGCCTTCTCGACACTCCTCAGACCCCTCCAACAAATATTTCCGCCCTAGAAACATTCACATTCCCATCTTCCGACCTCCTCGACGATTTTAAGCGCGCATATAGCCAGGATTTAGAATGGCGCGAAGGTCTCAAGCACCCAAAGACGGAGTTCTCGCTCCAAAACAACCTCGTCTTTCATTCTGGCCGTCTCTTCGTCCCCGAACCACTACGCGCTACCATTCTCAAGCAACGACACGATAATCTCGTTGCTGGCCACCCAGGTCGCGCTCGCACCACGGAACTCGTTTTGCGCGACTTCTCCTGGCCCAACGCTCATCGATACATTTGCAAATATGTCACCTCTTGCGACACCTGTCAGCGAATCAAGGCTCCGCGTCACAAGCCTTACGGCCTCCTCCAGCCGCTCGAAATTCCCGACCGACCATGGAAAGCAATTACCATGGATTTCATCGTCAAACTCCCTCTCTCGCACAGCTGCGACTCTATCTGAGTCGTTTGCGATCGTCTCACTCGCGCAGCGCACTTCATCCCTACCGTGGAGACTCTGCGCGCTCCAGACCTGGCATATCTTTTTATAGATCGAATTTTTCGATACCACGGCCTCCCTGATTCCATCGTTTCGGACCGTGGATCACTCTTCGTGTCCAAGTTCTGGCACGAACTCGCAACTCAGCTCCAGTTCCAGCTCAACACCTCTACCGCCTACCATCCTCGTACCGACGGACTCACAGAGCGCACGAATCAAACGCTCGAAACATATCTTCAAGCCTACTGCTCTTATCAGCAAGATGACTGGGTCGATTATTTGCCTCTCGCAGAATTCGCCTACAACAACCTCGAGAACGCATCGACAAAAAAGTCACCTTTCTTCGCCAACTATGGCTTCCATCCCACATTCCAACCTCGCCTAACCGAAGCTTCCAACCCTCTTGCAAAGGATCTCGCCAGCCGTCTCGACACCATCCGTCTGGAATTACAGGCAGAGCTGCGAGCCGCACAGGAATATCAAGCCAAATATTTCGATCAAAAAGCGATTCCAGCTCCCGAATACGCTCCGAATGATCAAGTCTGGCTCATGCGACGAAACATCAAGACGACGCGCCCTTCAGACAAACTCGACTATCGTCGACTAGGACCCTTTCGCATCATAAAGAAGCAAGGTGCTTCCGCATATGTCCTCGCTCTCCCCCCAAACCTCTCCCGCCTCTATCCCGTCTTCCACGCTTCCCTTCTCGAACCATACCATTCCCCCGACAGCATTCCAAACCGCTCACAAACGACACCTCAGCCCGTCGAACTTGCAGACTCAGAAAACGCACCACCGGACGAAATCCACGAAATATTAGATTGCCGCAAATTGGGTCGCCGATACGACTATCTCGTTGCCTGGAAAGACAAACCAGCGACAGAAACCAGTTGGGTACCGCTCACGGAGCTCCCCTTCTCGCTCAACGAAACTCTCGAGCGTTTCCATCGCCGTCACAAACGCGTCACTTGTCCCCCTAGGTTCATCTTCGCCCAACAAGCTCCCATTCCGACTCCTTCCCCACCTTCAACTCGCCCAACTTCCCCTTCACTACCTTCGCCACCTTCTCAAGAAATTTCTCCCCCTCATGCTCCAACTCCATTCATCCCACAACGCTCTTCAACTCCGCCTCCCGACAATCGCCAACTTCTTTCCTACGAACCACCTTCCAAAACAACAACTCGTTCCGGACGCATTTCACGCCCCCCTCAGCGCTTCAATCTCTAGCCGCAACGCTCGCAGGCGCTCGCCTCAAACGGGGAGATAATTGTCATAGGACCCTTATTCTCGACATTTTCCTTACTTTCTCATTTCTCTCAGTTTCTCATCGTTCCGTTATCTCTCGTCTCGCATGCATTATGTATCCGGCTATCCGATTGATTTCCTTTCTTCCGTTCCCGTTCCGTTGTCTCGCGACTCGCATGTATCCGTTCCGCACTTATTATTTATTCTCGCATTGTATCTATGTATTGTCTTTGTCGAATCAACTCTTATATTTATCCTTCTTACTTCGCTCTCTCGTCTCTCTCTGTTCTACTCGACCCGCGTTTAGCCTTCGTGCTATTTCCGATAACACGTCCTGACATGCATCAGAAACGAAAAAAAATTGCCTGCACAGTACATGTACTGGAAAAGAATACAGCAAAGAAAGGCAAAAAGAAAGGGCCTGACAGGGGATTGAACCCTGGATCATGAACTATGAGGGGATGTAGCAGACGAAACGGGCACAACCTTGGGAGGGGAGACTGCAACTAACATGTCAAATGCACCGTCTACTTCCAATCCCCGACCTGTCCAAGCGAGCACTGGTGCCGCTCTAGAAAGCGTGTTCGGAGTCAGGAGGGCGACCTTGGGAGCTCTGAACGCGAAATATACAATAGAAGCGATCGAGAGCTGCGCGAACTTTGTGAGTGGTGTTCTGTTTTCTTTCTCTATACGTCGCTCTCTTTGCTCAAACTGTTCACCAGTACAACATCCCGGTCTCAAGCACGCTGCATTCCAAGTTACGGAAAATTAAGTCTGTACTTTCATCTGCATTTTGGCCGCAGTTAAGGTTATCGTAGAAAGTAGGGAAACAAATACAACAACAGAATGTCAAAGTACGTCATCGTGGTCTTCATCTGCTATCTTCTCAAAGTTGCACTCCGCGAGCATGGCCATCAGGGCATAGAATTTGTCATCTGTCCCTTGGACGTTTACATTGGGAGTTTGATACTCTGATGCAGAGGAGGCAGATGCAGTCAGTAGCTCGTCAGTGTGTCCGAGGGCAGAGATGATGTCGATAAGCTGCTGTTTGGAAAAGAGTAGGTTCAGGCAAGGGGCAGCGCATCCTTTCCCCTTTGCCTTTGTGGAGGAACTTCCTCCTGTCTGGCTTGTGCTTTCTTTTGTTACACGACTTGCTTTCTTGGCACTGCGCTGCTCTCCTTGTTTTTCTTTGTTTTGGGACACCCCTTTGGCCCCCCTTCCGTTGACGGAACTGTGTACTGCATCTGCAGAACCCCTGTACACCGTGTTTACCCATTGTCCCTTGTTTGTTCTGAAAAGCAACACACTGACCTCTTTTCTTGAACACCCTGACACTCGACGAAGAATATATTTTACGAAATATTCCAGATACCAGGCTATATGCAAACATGCATTGCCTTTAGTCTCAGTGACTTGAACTCACCTTTCTAGCGATGTGTACCTATTTGAGCTTGTCACCATTGAATTCTTGTCAAAGATCCTTGGCCTGAGGATGAAGTGTCAGATTCGCTGAGAAGCCAAGGAACTGAAATATTTACCTTGACTATGCACGCTTCTTGCAATGCACACACTAACAGCAACCTATTTGTTCATTGTATTGAGTAGGATCACAACCAGCCACCCCCCGAGATTGGTCAGTGGTCTGGATCATCTGGAACCTTGGATTTACTTCAGCTTGAAATAGTGCATCAAAAACGAAAAAAATAGCCTGCAAAGTACATGTACTGGATAATGGAAAAGAAAACAGCGAAGAAAGGCAAAAAAGAAGGGCCTGACAGGGGATTGAACCCTGGATCACCCGCATATGAATTTGAGATTTAACTCAGCCCAAAGCGGGTATCTTACCACTAGACCATCAGGCCGATGTAAAGCATTTCGTACAAATAGCTGTGAATGCTAGTTTGGTTTTTATCACCTTAAGAAATTTCAGCGGTTTACCAACCAATACACTGGGTATCTCCGTTAGCGCGCGCCTAAAAAAGAAAAGAAAAGAGAGAGAACTCACGAAAATCCAGCACATCACTTCAGAAAAAAATTTCTCAAACTTGAAAATCTCAGTAAACTCGTCAATACCACACCCATGTAGTGCAGAGTAGGATAGCTTCGAAAATTGAGTGCATATAGTCAGCATTTTCGAAGAAAATCGTGATTTCAGTGCATTATGCAGCATTTAGCTGAGGTTTATCATGCATACTAACTCCACAATGTCTGCCAATGTAATCAAGCATCTGATATGCATAACTTACAGTGAGGTGGTAGCAGTATGCTTGATGAAGCATAGAGAAGAAACAAATTTTGTTTTATCTTGAAGCAAAAATGACATGCCAACACAGATGCATTACCTTATTCCTACAGATGCTTCAAATATAATTGAACCATATAGCAGTGAGGGCTTTAGAGCTGATTTACAAATTTCCTGGAGGGAGGATATGCAGCATATTTCAAGGTATCAATAGTGAAAGATATGAATTGTTATAAATGATTATTTGATGAGACCTACTCTGAAAACTTGTATTTACATTCCTAATATGCTAGATAGTGTACTGTACTATTTCGACCAACTGTTCACGGGGTTGTGACCGTGACACGAAAACTTCACTTGTTCACGGAGTTCACAACCCTAAATGAGCAACATTTGGGTTACAAATTCCCTTATCCGGACGCTAGGGTTCGGCTAGCGCGCTCTAAAGGCCCCGAGAGCGGCTTGTGACCTGTGACAGCGTCTCAATTAGTTCAAGTTCACGGCGTTTGTGACCGTGACGTGAACAGTTGGTCGAAATAGTACAGTATGTACAAAGTTTCAGATCTCCAGGTGCTGTTTTTGAATTGCAGCGAAAAGAACATTTTGCTGCCGAGCCGGGTGTTACCTGCCATTTTACCTGCCATTAGCCTATGGCAGGTAACAATTTGCATTATTCCGCAGTAACGGGGACCCTTAAAGCGCCAAAATTTAACACAATGCTGAATTACTAATGTAGAATGTATGTACAAGATTTCATAACGATCCAAGCACTGTAACTGCTACAATGAAGCCAACAGTTTTCGCTGTGGCTGGTAACATGGCAGGTAACGCGCGTGGGAACCCAACGCATTGGTCAGTAAACCATTTCAGCAGCCTGTGCAGTAGGTAGGTAGGTAGGTAAATCCGGCACGGTCCCAAAACAGGAACACCGGTTGTCGTGGCCCGTACAAGACGGCCCATCATGGCGCCTTGCCCACGACGAATGATGCCACGCTGCGCTCTATTAGGAGCAGAAATAAGGGAGGGTCGGAACTCGATGTTCTCAAGGCTCCTCCTCGTTACCTGCTCACCAACCCCCGCAGTATAACACCACCCGGACGAAGTGCGCGTACTAGTGGCATACATAGCTGGAATTTGTACGTTACGGTGGAATATACATCTTCTTCTTGTCGAATACCCTCAAAACGTGGTAAACATATCTTGCAAACGAGTTAGCCAAAGAAAAGTTATTGTAAAGTTTCTCGAAGTATTCCTCCGCCGTCTTCACGAGTCCCATATGAGGAACGGCCCGGCTGACGGACGACATGAACGCTTTTCGTAAAGGTATAAGATCGGTGTTTCCTTCGCATATGAATAAGGCGTGAAGTGGATCTTCAACGTCCCCGCATCCAAAGCGACAGAGTCGCTCATGTGAGTGATAGAAATTCCTGTGACCCCTCGCACCTCTTCGAAGTTGTTCTTCCGCAAGACAGTGTTCAGTGAGTGCACTTCCCGAGATCCATGCACCTTCAACAACCACACCGTGACGAATGTTGGAGATCTCTTGTCAATAAGCAAGGGTAAGGATGACTTGCGTCAGCTTGAAGCCACTTTGTCAATGGTACCGCAAATTGGACTCAAACTTGGAATCGGCGACTCGCCTTGACGTCAAGGAGAATGAGAGGCGTATTTGGTGGATCGCGAGGAACCTGTTGAAGTATATTAGAAAAGTGAATGCGAGATTTACGTATAAAATTTCGCGTACTCGTCATGGCCTACCGCGTCATTTTGAAGTTCGCTGTTTAACTTCGAAATAGCCGTTAGGGTGTGTTGAAGACAGACACGAAACCGAACGGATTTCGTGACTCAATGGTGTGCCTGAAGCATTTTTGATAAATGTTTGTCCTTGAGTGTATTCGTCGAGATTGTGGTGTCAGCGAAAGGCGCGTGGCTGTTCGAGTAGCAGCTGTTCTTTGACGGTGATCGACGTCGAGCAAACGGCCATGGCGCCTGCTCCCGGCGACCGCTCACTGGCGAACGACAACTCCAGTGGAAGCACATTTCCCCTCGCAAGCTACCAAGCTCAGGCTCACGACAGCGACGTCCAAGGCTCGCCTTTCGGTGCACTCATCTCGGCGGGCTTTCTTCCTGCAGGCACAAGCGCACCACCACGTTCTTCGTCTTCAAACCTGACCATAAATGTCCGCACCCTCGCCTCGCCATCTGCGCCCTCGCCCTCCCTGCATCATCCACCGACGCTAAACTCCGGTAATGGAGGCGCACGAGACCCTACCAAGTCCGCACATCGAACTACAGCTTCTCCTGCGCCGGGCACCCATACTCATACTGCAACGGGATCACAGAGAGCAAACGGGAGCCAGAGTAACATGACTCTGACCGCTCGCGCAGCTATGGAATCATTGGAAGGCACGTCGGTGTTGCAGACTGCCTCTGGTCCCAGTGACTCCAGTCCTACGGCAGGACCGGCAGCACACGGTTCTGCGTTTTGGGCTGTGAGTGAGCGCGAGTCCGTCTCCTCAATATCCTGTTCTGATTATCTAGAATCAATACTGACGTACCGTACTGCAAACCTCTTGTTACATGCATGACCTTTAGATGACTCGCCAACTACAGACGCGCCTTCAGTACGCGCGGCTCAAGGTCGATCATGGATGGGTATGTTCGCTCGCGCTTGAAATAAATCGATCGGTCAATTATTAATTTGATGTAGCAAAAGCAAAACCTCAACGAGGTTGAGAACCTCTACTTCAGACAACTTCAGCGAGGCCAAAGAGAGGCTCGTGAACGAGAACGCGGCAAGGGATCCTCCAAGGATCCAGACGAAGAGTCAGTGACGACTCCGACGGAAAGGGGGCCAAGAAGAAGAAGGGGAGGAAAGGATGGAGGTGAAGCGGAATCACTCTGCATTGGTTGATATCTAACATGTCGAACGTTCAAAAACAGATGCTAAAAGTCGCAATAAGGGGACTATATTCGTGAATATGACGAAGGAGGGGAAGACGGTAGACAATCCGAACGCCCCTAAGGAGACTGCGATGGACGTCGATGTCGAAACCCTTGCCGAACCGGCGAAGGACCCGTCCTCTACTAACCCAAATCCGAATACTGTCACCAACGATACTGCAACTGTTTCCCCCGACGAACCTCTCGTTGACGAACCCCCAGGAGGAATCGCGACAATGTCCTCGTCGCAAACACAAACACGACTCTCCGCCGACTCTCCTGACACCCCGCATCCGCCTTCCAAGCTTCCCGCTACGGGGACTCCAAATGCTTCTCAAGGCTCTCAGACAGCCTCTACACCAGGAGCATCGATCGCCTCGCCTCCCCTTACCTACGACTCCTTCTGGTCCTCCGTTTCCTCCCAGCGTCCAAACCTTGCAAACCTCACTTCGCAGCTCGCTGGGAAAGGTACTGCAGGCACGCCTTCATCCTCCAATGCAGCAACTGGTAGTGGGACGGGTGCGGGTGCTGCCAGTGGATACCAGGGTATTCAGAGTCTGCAGAGCTTCCAAGCTTTGCAGGCCTTCCGAGCTGCTCTTGCTAATAACGCGGCGGAGCAAAGGGCTCGAACGTCTGGTGGTGGGTCACAAACGAGACAGAAAACGTCAAGTTCAAGTGCGAATCAGAGTCGAAAGTCCAGTACTCCTGCTCAACAAGACAGTGCTGAGTCTTCCACAGATCCAGAAGGCACACCAAAACAAAGCTAAAGCTAACCTCGAGTAGATTGATATTTAGTAGACTTATAATCTTCGCTGCATAATGCGCATTGACATGCTCTGACAAGGGATTGGACACTAATAATCACACTTTGAAACAGAACGGATTCCTTACATGGAGGTTTCAAGGTCTCGGACATCGCGAACATTGCGAACATTGCACATGGCTTGATGGGCATGGCCATAACATTTTGGTGTGCATAGATACACAGAGGCATAAAATGCGTAAACGAACCACCCTAAACAACAAAAAAGCTCCTTAAAAGACATAGCCAAGGAGCTTGCCACCAATGTTCCTGCGCCTGGCCTCTTCGTGGTCCATGATGCCGTCCGAGGTGGTCAGGATGAGCTTGCCGAACGAACGGGCAGGGAGGAGATCGGACGCGCGCTGCTCGAGCTCACGGGCACGGACGTTGAAGCGGGGGGAGATGACACCGGTCTTGTTGATGCGTCCGTTGAGTTGGACGATGATCTTGCCGGAGCGGTGGTCGTCGACGAGCTCGAATTCGCCGATGTAGCCTGCAGGACACGCGTCGTTAGCTCATTCCTTACAAAAGAGGGAAGAATAGAGCAAAGTAGCGAGAAGATGTGGATTCCCAAATGAACCCTGACATCATTAGCTTTCGAGAAAGGAATGGCAGGGCTATCTGAGGGATAACCAGAATTTGATATTTCGGGAGCTTAAAACGAGTAGCAAGTGGAACAAGTTGTGTCGCCAGCCGTAGTTATAACACCCGAGCATAAAAGAGAAAGAGACAAAATGGACAAATGAAAGGACACGAACCATGGCGTTGCATCAGCGACAAGAACTTGACGATGACCTTCGACGAAGGGCGGATGAGAACCTGGCGCTTGCCACGCTTCTCGGCGTTGACGATGGACTTGAGGCAGTCGTTCTAAC